CTGGTAACTGCTGCTTCGATCAAGCGTTAAACTACTACTTATGGCTTTAACGTACCGTTTTGACGTGTTAAAATGGAGAAGCTAGTATGAATGCTTACAATACTTTTGGGTGTTTGAAATAGTTGTGACCATGTTAATTACATCTACTCTATTTTATTAAATGTAATGACACTTGTATTCTTATCAACCAACTTTGTTTTGGTAAAATTCTTGATATTCTATGACTTCCATAGACGTTGAAAACAATTTTAAAAACTGTTAAATAACTTTTTAAATTACTAGTTCAAACTAACATATACGAGGGATGTTTCACTCCGCCTCTTTGACCAAGAAAGGGGTGCCACTCCTTGATCCCTTCATTCATCTCTTTTTAGATCAAAAGTAGCCGTATATAATTATTCAAATATATACAACTTACTGGTATAAGATCATAGTTTAGAATCCGTTTATGCACTTGTATAAATCCAGTTAGCTAAAATATGTTAGGTGACACTAAAATCATCAACAAACTCTTGATCCTCGATCGTTATCATAACTTGCCCTACAAAGCTTTTTGAGTTCTAGTTTAATACATGTAACAAATGTAGTCTACATTTCATCTATAGATGACATCTTCCTTCGTCAGTAGTCAGTAGCCACTATATGTGTGTCTCTTTTTTCATGGAGAGCGGAAGTTGATTAATAGAAGAAGCTAGCGGATTGAGACAAATTACTACACCAATTTAAGGGTCTAGCTTTGTTAAGACTACTAATACCAATTAAAAAAACAACTTGCACTTCATTTGCAGTAAATTTGTAGGTGTCTCTACACAAATATGTGTTCATGTTGCTAATGATTTGAAATGATTCACCAAAATTTAGGATTGAGAAGATTGGAAATCAACTTCTTGATTAACCAAAAGGAATGCCATTTACATTTATACTAGAAGGAAGAAAGATAAACAAGCTAACTAACTACTCTCTCTAACTAACGTTTCTATCCAATCAACATGTGGTAAATTACAAATATACCCTCGTTGCTCAAATTACTATAATAACCTCCAATGTCAAATCACGTCAAGTAAGCAATTAAAGAACTTCAAAATGAGAATGATCTCCTCGCAAAGCTCAGCCTCAAACTCGATTAATAAGACTACAAAGAAGAATATGTACTAAATTTGGCATTAAGCTAAGATATATGCTAATAATAAGCAAATATTTTATTCTTTGGACGTAATTCTATTAATTAATATAAAATAGTGATGTTTTACACTCCGTTTTTTTTGTTAATCATCACCAAATAGTTTAAGTCAATTATGTATGTCTCACAACAAAATGTCAGCATCATAGGTCAGCCCTAGCAATTTAAGTTTATTAAGAAACCACCAACACTTTCCACTTTAATTACAACTTGGGAAACTAATGGTCTAGCAATTGATAACTTTAAGTTGTCATTTTATTCTTGCCCTTTTGTGGATAATCCAAGATTAAGAAAGTTGTAGGCATTAACAAGATATCGTTGACACAACCACAATCCATCTTATCCATCATGGTCCCTAAGATAAGTGACCATTTAGGGGAGTAGCGTATATGAGTAGGAATGCAAGAAAGCGAAAATTTGAATGTCTCATACGAGCCATAGCATACGCTTTTTGGTGGGTCCCACCATGTTTGTGACTTCCTCCACTCGCTTAAGGTACCCTAGATTCACCAAAGATCAACAAGAGGAATCAGACCATACTATAATCTGAACGGATATACGACCTAACAACCGGTCCCACAGCCAACATTGGTAAGGTAAATCACAATGTAGATCACATTTATAAATTCTTACCTTTTATTGCTAGGGAAAGTCATATTTCAATTTATTTAAGCAAACAAATAACATCCCAAATCCAATTAAACCACATATGTTAAACCTTGAAACATATAGACCTTAGCATACACATCTCTAATAGTGGAATGTGCACATCATTTAGCCGAAATACATTCAGCAAAAGTAAACAGTCAACAACAATAACCAAAAGAAGGGCCACTCAAGATGGCTACATGCTACAGGAGAAGAGCAACAAAAGAGAATTAAAAACTAAAATTGCAACAGTTCAAGATCTAGACTTATATATTTTTTGCTGTTCAGTGGGGTAGGCAGGGAGTTATTTAATTCAAAGAAAGCTCAAGGGGTATTTGGAGGCCATTGCTTATAGTATAGTGTTACTATAGTCATAAAATATATATCTTTGATAGTGAATTATTGAAGATGTAGGTAATGCTTAGCAAAGTGGAAAGACTATTATGACAAGGAAGTCCACTACCACCTAAACAATGCATTTTATACAAAGTGTAAGCACTCAAAGGAGCTTCCAAGAAAAAGTGTTTGAGAAGCAGATGGTAGGGAATAAAAGTTACTCCACTTAGTGCTAAAAAGGGTTGTTATATGCTCCAACAACCAGTTGCATTACAGTAGTTCACTTCGCAATTATCATAATGCTCATTGTATTTCTTAATTGAGGAAGAATGAGAATATATGGGAATATAAATCCATAAAGGTTTCCATGTTATATGTAGCCAATCCATCAAAACCACCTACATGATAATCATCATTACCTATTAATACTTTCCCTCCTTGCTATACTTGCAAAAATGGTCAAAGATTCGAGATTTAACAATTGGAATTTTAATTTCAATATGGATTGGGCTCCAGTGTCCAGTGGGCCATTGGGTTTTTATGTTATTTGTCTATTTGTCTGGTCGTCTAGTATATACTGTTATATACTTGAATTACATCTCATATAATGCTCTTAGTTAAGTTGATTAAGGAAAACCAAACCAAAAACTCAAACTAAAACTTAACAATGATGCTTAGCTGTTAGGGGGAAAAAAAAAAAAAAAAACCTTGACAATGATGCTCAAATTCACCTCAAACCCTCATTGGTGAATTTAGAATTCGCTAGCTCCACTTACAGGCACATAGTGCGTCTTTTATCTTGAAACTACGTCGTATGGAATTGGTATTTTTAAGATTGATACTTGATAGTGCTTAATCCTCTTGTTTAATTTAGTATGTCAGCTGTCCGTTTATTTTTGGTCTCTAGTTTTATGAAGTATTTTAACTTTGAGTAAAATTGTTATTCCATGATTGAGAAACATAAAAGTTATGTTCTATTTTCTAACAATTTTATTATGTTTTATTCTAATAAATGAAGCTGCAAATAATTGACAATCGAATTTCAAGAAATGGATATTGCATAAGGATATGAGAACAAGGACAATTTTTTCATTGTGTATTTTAGATGATTTTTATAAAAACACATTATTCTAACAAAAAAGTTATGTATGCAAATTTATTATTAAAAATAGAAAAAGACAAACCATTTTAAAGTCATTTTTTTCTTTTGGAACGGCTGAATTTTGTTAAGCTAGCAAGGAGCTAAAACAAACAATTACATGAAAACAGAAGAAGGATTATGAAGCCAAGTAGACCATCCTAACTTAGCTTTATTACATCTATTTGAAATCCAAAAGAAAGTCTTATCAACTACATCGTAAAAAAGCAAGGCCTTTTCAGGGTAAATCGTTCCAAATATAGTAGCATTTCTGAAATTCCAAATGCACCAAAATGCAGTCATAGCAACTGCATCAAAAATTTTACATGGCCCTGCCCTCAACATGACCGCATCAGACCAAGAGAGAAGAGGAAGAACAGAAATATGATCAGGAAGTTGAAGACCCCACCAAATAGCAATACATCTCAAGATATCCATTAAAGCAGGGCAACCTACGAAAAGATGATCGATGGTTTCCACTGAACACGAACAGACAGGACACATGATCGTTGCCACCAAAATCCCTCTAGAAGAAAGTCTTTCTCTCGTAGGAATACTCTGAAGCTGCACCCTCCATATTAGAATATTGAGTTTAATGGGAACCCAATTATTCCATTTTAAAGTCCGTTATTTTTGGATAAACTAGAAAATAACCAGCTTACTTGAATGAGCCACTCTACAAGTCTACATCATCGTGTTTGGTTCTATTTCTATATTCTCTCCTTCAACTATATATGTTTCAGCAGTTGTACAATTTTCATTTGTGGTTGAGACAAATATACATAGCTACTTCTGAATTTTTAAAATCTAAAACATTATGTTCTAACTGATTTTTTTTATGCCATATACTTTCCCTAAAGCTACACTTACATTGTATTTAGACGATTCATGTGAATAAGAATTATGGGACCAAAGCAAAAGTGAAAGTTGAATAAAAGGTTCCCTAGTTTTTATCTTGATCAAGTTGAAACTTTGAGTCAACCAACAAAGGGAAGTGGATGCAACCACCTGTCAAAGTTGTGAGGAGATGTTTGATATTGACTTGAAAAAAGCAACTAACTAAACGCCATGTCATTGTTTCTATCATTCTATCCACATTGCTACTTGCTAGAATATTATCCAACAAACATAACATAACATGTGTTTGCCAAGGAACCCCACACACCTTCATCTATATGTTATCTTACTATATTAATTAAAATGAAACTAAAATAGTTATAAAACAATAATAAAAAATAAAGCCCGTATATTATTTAACTAAATTACAAGTTTGTATTTAAAAAATAATAATTTGACCGATCAAGTTGATGTAACATGACCATTTTGACTTCATGTTCTTTCTTTTCTTTCTTCAAAATGATAGTTGAGTAACCTCTACTTTTGTCCATTGCCCGTTTGTATAAAGTAGTTTTGGGATCTTCCATGATCAATTCCAAGGTCAACTCTTTTGGTATATCTAACTTGAACCATAAATCCTGTGAGATTTTAATCATTATGGGTTTTGAAAAAAGAGGAAAAAAAAGATAGTGCAAAATGACATTTTACATGGATATAATAATCTTTTTCAAACAATGTGAAAATCGATTATTTTTAAAATAAAGTGTGCTCGTTTATTTGAACAAAATCCATGAATAACTAATTGAGATGACACCACCAAAAATACACCAACCTATTTAGAAAAATTAATTCTAGAATGAAGTTCTGTGTATTTGCTTATTTAATACAAAAAATAGCAACATCTCCTAACAAAACAAGTGATTAGATACTTATATATTTGTTTTGTAACATCCCAAACACACACACACTAAGATATTGTCCGATTTAGGCAACTAGATACCCAAACTTCCAAATAGGTCACCCATCCTGGTACTGATAAGCACTGCTTATGGGATCTGTTGCCCTCACAGATTTAAAACGCATCTTGAAAAGAGATGTATCCACACCCTAATAAGAATGTTTTGTTCATCCTTAGTGAGTGTGGTCCCACATTGGTTTGTGAATTTTAAGGATCATTGGCAAAAATATAAAAAAGAGAATTCTAATTAAAACAATCTAATGACAAAAAAAACATCAACAAACTTCATCCTATGCAGCAACCGCCGCCTTTTCTACTTTCTTTGTAGCAGCCTTTTCAGGAGTTGGTATTTCTGGCTTTTCGATTCCTTGTATATCAGTTATCCTTAGCTTTGTCAATTCCTAAAAACATTATCATTTTTATTAAAAATAAAAAACGAAAAACATATTTAGAAGCAGAAAATTGTGAATTTATTTGGGTTTACCTGTCTATGACCTTTTGTTCGGCGATAATTCTTTCTTCTCTTTTTCTTAAATATGATTACTTTTGCATCCAAAGCCTGTCAAGACACGTAAAAAATAATGAAATTTGATTTTCTAAATGAATATATAAACTATTTAAAAAAAGAAAAAAGAAAATGGATTTATTATGATTATTACATGCTCTTCCACAACAGCATGAACAGTGGCCTCAGGTAAAACAGGTCGACCAATCATTGTCTGAGTCTTGGAACCCAACATCAGAACCTTATTTAAAATTAACTGCAATAAAAAAAATTGGATTACATTTATAAAAAAAAAACATCTGCTTTTTTTTATCAATAATAGTAACAAACTTGATACTGTCTACCTTTCATAGCATTTTACATACAAAACCAGGTCAAAAGCTGGCATGGCATCGGTTTTTTATAATGGCAACAGTTTTTACAGAGAACAATTTTTATGTGCTTATGCAATCAAGATTTCAAAAAAAAAAAAACACCAATTATAAATGTTCAAATTAAATATTATGGACATAATCCCTAAAGAAGAAAAACATATGGGAAACCTTTTGCAAAAGGGCTTGTAAATTGAAAATCATTTTAACAAATGGTAACAAAGATCATCTGGGATACCCAAGTAAGCATTTTTTTTTAATACTTTGCAATCTAGAACTATATAACAGATAAATGCACAAATATTAAGAATTAAGGTTAGCTAACCTTATCGTGCACTTCACAGAACTTCAATTTCTCTGTATATATGCAATCCCCATTGCTCACTTTGAACTGATGTGATCCAATCTACAGCAATACAAACAACCCATTACACATAAATAGGAATATTTTCATTTGACACCAATACAATCATCAACAATGTAGATACCTCCATTGACTTTAAGTGCAAGTGTGTGGAAAAGTTAAGACTTAACTTAATCCTTTTAAGTCAGGAAATAGGTTAATGAAGCTCTTATTATTATTATCTATAACTAGTTCTGTAATGCTAAAAAAAGAATGTCATTATTTACATTTGCAGAGTCTCAATTTGAATTGTAAGGGATCAATAACAAGAGCAGATTTAAACTTTTTTGTTCTGAAATAGTTTCTTCATTGCTATTTGCTAAGCATAATACTGTATATTTCTAGCCAAAATTGTCACCTAGAACTAATATTTCAAGACTAACACACTATTAAACCACATTGTATCATCAAATCTTAAAATTTGAGAGCTAAATATTACCTGAATAACAGCAAAAACAGGTTCATACGACTTAAAAACCCGGTCCGACCGCTGGAGCTGCCCAATCACCTTATACCCAATGGCAGCCGCCTCGGCTTCTTTCTCCTCCGGCGAATACTCTCTCTTTGCAGCATGATTTGCCGAATCCTCCGTCATTTCATCATCATCAACATCGTCATCGTCATAATCACTATCATCTTCTTCACTTTCATCGTTGTTATCGCTGTTATCGTGTCTATCAGACGAGAAATGGCGATATGTCGTGAAATTTGTTGATGAGGAATAGAAATTAGGGGTCGAAAGAGTGTAGTGGGATTTAGGGTGGAAGGAGTTTTTAGGCAAATTTGGGATCTCCGTCAGTGTTCTGAGGTGCTGAAGGAGTGACGGAGGATCCCGATGAAGTGTTGATTTGTAAAGCTGTTGGGTTAAGGTTTGAAAACGTCGTCGATTAGCCATTGTTGATTGAAGCTTCTTCCTCTCTGGTTTCGGAGCGAGTGTTAGGGTTTAGATTATAGCCTGTAAGGGGTTATGGTATGAGACTATTTTTAACATTCGAAAAAAGCTAGTGAACTAGTGAAATTATTTTCTGAGTAGTTTACAAGTTTAGTCCCTGTTATGTTAAATGTTAACAATTTAGTCCATATGTTTTATTTAATGCATAAATAGTCCATGAAGCCAAACTTTGTTTCAAGTTCATTGATCGTGTTAAAGATTTATCGGCATCTTACTTACTACTAAAACCTAAATAAATGATCAATCTCCATCATTGTTAAACCTAAAATTACATCAAATTTAACCAAAACTCAAAAATAAAACTAATACTAAAACAAATCATTATTAATGTCCATTGTAACTAAGTAATCTATGTTGTTTGGTTTAGGTGCTTGTTAACTTCTAGTTCTATGACCGGAAACTAAAAATTACAAAACAAAGAATAACTACACTCAAACAAGATGCTTTGAGTTTTCTTTAATTAATTTCCAAGAAAAACTCAGTGGTGTGTTCTATATTAATAACTCGGTGATATGTTCTTATCGAATGTGAAAATCTAGAAAAAATATATATGAAATGAAATAAAAAATCAACAATGTTTGATGGCATAAACAACATTAGGTTAGTGTAGTGTGCTTAAGAGATGTGTTCTTGCAAGGTAAAACTCATTCTTTCAACCGTAGTTTGTTGATTTTTGGATTAAATTCTATGGGTTGTTCTAAGTTTGAGTAGTTTCTTAACTATTTTTACTTTTCCATGTCTTCTACTAGATTTAAATTTTTGATGGAACCACTAATACCAAAATGGGAGCATATATGAATGTCATTCAAGTCAGGTTCTCCTAGGATTATTTTTAATTAATCATCTTTCTTTCCATTTTTATATAAATAATAATTAGATCAATAATAATGATTAACATATTTTTTTTCTATCAAGTTGGAAACGAAAACATTGAAACATTGTTGAGATATAGGTTGAGGAATGAAGTTGAAGTAGATTGAGAATATACTTTCTAGGTGTGTATCGAATAAGGTGAAAAGATGAAAGAATGAAGAAGATTAAGATAAAGGGAAAATGTGTAAAATTATAGAAACAAGATTTTCCCAACATCAAAAACTCTTATATCATTTGAGGGTTAAGAGTCGGAAGGTTTATATGTACTTACACCGGAAACCTCACTACAAATCTCCTACTCTACCTCATAACATATCACTCAACCTAATCTAACAACGATCAAGAAAAAAATCAGAGAAACACAAGAGAGATCCTAAACTGATGAACATGATTGAGTGAAGAAGACGAGAGAGAAAATGATCAGAAAAATGACTCTTTGAATGAGGCAAAAGCTCAGTACCAACCACTTAAATACATCGGGTCAAGGCAAATCCGAAGACTCGTACAACTTTGAATAAAGCACACATTGGTCCTTGAATTTTGATAATACCCAACCTACACACAAAGAAACAAATACAAACACAAGAAAATTTTCAACTTTGCAAAAAGTTAGTTTGAAATACATAAAACATTTATTAATTTTAACAGCCCCTCTTAAACTAACCATTTTGAAAACAAAATTATTTTAAAGAAAAAGGATCAAGCAAACACAACTTCTCACACAAAACATTATGTTGAGAAGAAACAAGAGACTTAGTGAGAATATCAACCACTTGATTAGAAGCACTAATCTTAAAAAAATTATAACACCTTTTGAAAAAATTTCCTTATGAAATGAACATCAATTTCAAAATGCTTGTTTTTATTATGAAAAATTGGATTTAAGGCTATTTTAATCGCAGACTCATTGTCACAAAAAAACATTTACATGAACAACATTTTTCAAAACCAAATCATATAAAACCTTCAAAACCCAAGTTAACTCACATAACAGAGATCCAAGAGCCTTATATTCAGGGTCTATAGATGAACATGATATGGTGGACTGTTTTTTACTTCTCCAAGACACATGAAAACTACCAAAATAAACAACATAACCACTAACATATTTTCTAGAAAACAGCCTTTTACCCTATTTGCATTTGAGTATCCTCTTAAAAGAAGAGAATCAAATTCAGACTTCAAATAAGAAACTCCCATACCATGGTTATGTTTGAGGTATTTTAATAACCTCTAAGCAACTTGCAAATGAGATTTATTTGGCTTGTACATATATTGAATCAACATTTCAACAGAATAAGCAATATCTGGTTTAGTAACTGTTAGATAAACGAGCTTAAATAAGTTTATGAAAATTAGTTATATTTTCAAGTAAAACATCATTATAATCATTAACAACAAGATTTGATTCCAGTGGTGTTTTGATCGGTTTACAACCCAACATCCAAACTCATGAAGTAGTTCTAAATAGTATTTTCTTTGAGATAAACAAACCCCATTTGGAACTTCTATAACTTCAATACCCAAAAAAATATTTCAATTTCCCTAAATCTTCTATAAGAAATTGAGACTTAAGAAACTCCTTTACTTTACTAATTTCAAGCTCATAATTCCTAGTTACCACAATATCACCAACATAAAATAACATAATAACAACAAAATTTTTAATACTTTTAACAAACATAGAATAATCATTAAGACTTTGTTTAAAACCAAAACTTATCAAAAAAATCACTTAATTTTTCATTCCACTTTTGTGGAGCCTACTTTAGACCATACGATTGATGGGTTTACTAGGTTATAAAAAATTACATATGAGCAGAAAAATACTTAACCCTTAAGTTCACATGCAACATAGTTTAGATATATGTTTTCTTTATTGATAGCAATAAAAATGAATATCAAGAAACCCTAGAGAGAGACTATGAAAATTGAAATTCACATAAAGATTAGGGTTACATACCTCTTGATTATTATAGCAAATAACCAACTTGATTCCTCTTGTAGTTCCTTGGAAAGAAAGCACAAAAAGTTTGGATGCCTCTAATGGCTTGTACCTCAAACCCTAATAACTAGAAGAGTTGAGGAGAGGGGAGGCTTAGAGAAAATTTTTGGCTCTTAAGAGTTAAGAAGGAGCGGATGAAAACTAGAGACCCTAGTCATATTTATAGCTGATAAGGAAGCCTTGGATAACCCTAATTTCAATATAATAATAATATCTTGAATTATGTAATTATCCAACTCCTTAATTATCCAATCAGATTAATCTAGAAACATTAAAACCCTAGCCCAAAACCGGTCATGCTTAGAGGGTTATAGAAACCATACTTTGTTCAACTATTGAACAATTACAGCTTAGTCCCTGCACTTCTAATTAATTATAATTAACCCGAAATTAATCCCAATTAATTTTTTGATTAATTCTTAATTAATTGTTACTATTTCTAATTAATATATTAATCATATAATATATTAATATATCATTTTTTACAAATTTATTAATCATATAATACATTAACAAATCAGCTTCTCTCTCCAAAAGTCATTCTATTCAGTTATCGATTATGAGGGCAACCCAAAAAGGACTCTGCTTCTATTTCAAGAATATACCAATATTGGCTTAGACACCTTAATCCAACAGTCTTTCACTTGGATAAGTCTGTAACTACAATTATAGTCATAGACCTTGAAATAAACAACAAAGAGTGCTTTCCAAAGCCATTGCCAAACTCTGATTCAAAGCAGCTATTGGACCTAAGATAAGTGATCAGCTATTCATTCGTTCTTCAAGATATCGTATGGACACGAGACATGAATCATAATCAATCTCATTTTCCAAGATTTTTTTTCAATTTCCCAAATTTTAAAGAATTTATTGGATTTCAAATTGAACACATCAATTAGTCCTGGTTGGGCCCAACACTTATAATGTCAACATCAAATCATCGAGGGGCCTAATGATATCACTTTTCCTGTTAGGGAAAAAGGAATGAATAAACTTTGACTACATAATTGTAACTTTTACCCACCAAATCACATATGATGATTTGTTTTATAACATCAAGTTACTGATGCGTTTACGCAACACCATTATACAACCGATTTGTAAATTACAACTTATGTATCTTCGTTTGAAGAATAGAAGATATTATCGTCTTAGAATTACTCGTGACAAGATCCATGAAGTAATCTCTAAGTGTGGGTTTAACCAATACTTAAAATCCATATTTTCAAAGTACTCATGAATATTGTAGCAATTCCAATTGCAATGTCTTAACCTCAATCGACAATCTACAATCAATTCATGACATTATTAATTCACTACTTACTTCCAAAAGTATGAGCGACTGTGGAGGTTTGAATAATTTAAATTATTCAGGAAGTAAAACATGCAAAATGAAACACATGAATAAATAATTGAATAAGATAATACAATACTCATAAATAATTCTCTATTATTCATTCACCAAATCAACTACATTTATTTTGTTACACATTTCTAAATATCACCTAACTACTACAACTAATTTCGTCTCTTAGGTCGATGCTCATAGCATGCTGGTAGTGTTTGACTCTGCTCAAAGCCTTTGTAAAAGGATCTGCAATATTATCCTCTGATGATACTCTCTTCACCAGAATGTGTCCTTCTTCTACCCGATGTCGAATGTAATGGTACTTTTTATTGATATGCTTGGATCTACCATGATCCTTTTGGTTCTTTTGTCAAAGCAAACGTACCTTCATTATCACAAAATAGTTCCATGGGTTCTTGAATAGTTGGAACGAATCTGATATCTCCGATAAAGTTCTTTAACCAAGCTGCTTCCTTTGATGCTTCACTCGTTGCGATGTAAATCTGACTCACATGTGGAATCATCCACCATGTGTTGCTTGGAAATTTTCCCAAGTAACTGCTCCCCCCATTAAATAAGAATACCCAGCCAGACTGGGAACAAAAGTTGTCTCCATCTGTTTGAAAGTTGGCGTCACTGTAACCAATCACTCTCAACGTATCACTGCCGTCAAGAACTAAGAACATGTCTTTTGTCCTTCGCAGATACTTAATAATATTCTTCACCGCAATCCAATGGGCTCTGCTAGGATTTCCGTGGAATCGACTAACCATGCTCAAAGCATAAGACACATCAGGGCGA